GAACTCATCTCTGTTAAAGATTGGTTTGTTAGTTATTGAATATTTATCTTATTCTTTGGAATGATTCAACAACACAATCATTTATAAAAACGATTTACCAACTTTTAAAAAAAAACATCTTTAACAACAACAATTATGTAAGGATCTTTTTAAAGTGATTACTTTTTATAAAATTACAGTTGAACATAGTAATTAGTGATTGGTAACGTTAGCTGATGAATTTTTTTGGATATCTTTGTGATCCAGTTGTGATCTAGTTTAAATATATTTTTCCAAATTGAATATTCTTTAAAAAAAAATTAAATTCCATTTAACCAAATGATAACTAGAAGGGAAAAATTAGAGTACTATGAATGACAATTTGATGATAGTTTTGAATTTATCCATCATACATAAACTAATATTTTAGCTTTGAACAGCAAAATGGTTATCATTGTAAAATTCCCTTTCCAAAACTTATCAAATTCTAGAGACAATATTAATGAACAAAATAAGTGCCCCAATTATGAAAACCAATCTGTTACAATAAAATAAACATCAGTACTTATGATTGCATTGATCATTTCTTTAGAATGGATAGTTAGATGATAGTAACATTTATATGGTTATCAAATATTAAGTTCTATTCGGTAGTCACCCATTTACTGACTGCCAAAAATCAATTTGACCTTGAATATCAGAAACAAGGGGACTAAGATTTGTTTATTTATTTGAACACAAGAGGGCACCAGATATATATGCGCCACATAAAACAATGAGGATGGGAAGAGAAAAGGAAGGTAAGTTGCGTATAAGAAAAAACAATAACGACCACAGCTTGGTGCAAGGTAGTGTAATAATAATAAATAATAATAATGGGGAAACGGAAAGGTACAACCAGAATAATTCTTTCAGTTAAGGAAGTTAGAACACTTTTTATGAAGAAAGTAGAAGGAGGTTACAGTAGGAAGGGGACTAAGAATCCCCGGGTAAATATAATATTTGATAAATAGACGATGAATATGTAAACAGGTAACATTACCAAGGTGTGACTTGATAATTTCAAATAAATTGAGCATTGGGTAGAGTGATATAAATAAACAACATATCTGTAATATCCCAATCAGTAGAAAAATTAGATTTTTTGACGTTTTGTGACTTAGTGTAAGCCACTTCTTCAGAGATTATTACTTAATTTAATAATTTTTTACAATATAGTTTTATTCACTAGGTATTGTTTACTTGAATCTACCGATTGATGTTTAGGACTGCAATTAAGTCACGAAACGTCAGAAAATCTAATTTTTCTACTCATTAGGATATTACAAATATATTATTTATTTAGAATATGTAAATAGCTTTCGTTACGTCTAAAGTTATAACTATTGCGTTCTACTCTCATGGACAATCCCTATTACCGTAATAAAAATACAATAACCTTGAAATACGTTTTCCTTATTCTATCATTGATCATTATCGAAAACATAATTTTCGAAACTTAGTTAAGTTATTGTATGCTCCATGAAAGATCACTAGATTTAAATCTCATGTTTTAAATAGAGTAAATGACGACTAAATGATAACTAATGAGTAGATACAGGTATAGTTTGCAAGTGAAACTAGCATTTTGTTTGCTAACATTAAGAAAAATAATCACTAGTAACCATTCATTTCTGTACAGTGAAAATGTATGAGTCCGTGAATAAAAATACGTGAACGCCATTATTGTACATTTAAACAGGTTAGTAATATGTGAATTGTTTTACTCAACAACAACAAAAAATGAACAAAACAAATGCAGCTAATAGAATCTAAATTTGGAGCGTTCGTGTAAATTAACTTTTAACCTGAATTTTAGTTTCCAAAGTGTGAAAGTTTAATCATTAAAGATGGATCATAAGGAAATATTTATTTTTAAATGTTCAAGGATAAAACTGCTAGCCACTAACTATCTTTGCTTAGAATGCTTGTAAATTAAGGTAATATTGAGGCGATACACACAGTATGCACATATACTAATAAGAGACTGATCAATTCCAGTCCTAAACATCAATGGCAAGATTCAAGTAAACAATACCTAGTGAATAAAATTGTATTTTGAAAAATTATTAAATGCAGTAATAAAATCAATGGTTGAGATAACGAGTCTGTTGAAGGTAGATCACCATGGAAAACATGGAAGCATTGGATGACCGTTTCGTGCTATTGTGGGAACGGTGGCCTAGCTTCAATTGACTTATGATCTCAACCATTAAAATCACTATAATATCCACAAAAACCCTGCTGATAAATAATAGTTGCTTAGATTATTTAATCTAAAGTAGAAGACATTTGCTTTTACTAAGATACGAACATATTCACATAATTTTCAATGAAATACCTTATTTTGATTTGACTAACTTGAACTACTTTTAATATGCTGTGATTTTGAATTATGTAGAGAAATAGATACACTGATTTATCACTATTCAATTTTCTCAATGCTTGTTTTATTCACTTTGTTTTGTAAAAAAAAGATGAAGGATTTACATCAAATACTGTCATCAAACTGTTGGAATTAATTTGGTTTATCATAAATCTTCAATTATCCATGATTGCAAGTCATGATTGGTTTGTACTTTGTATTTGTTTGTGGTTCACTTAATCATGAAGTCTTACTACAGATAGTCTTAACTTATAGTGATATTAACTCGCAGATATTGATAAGTGTGATTTCTCTAATTCCGCAATCATCATTGAGTTGTCTCAAAGGTGTTCTTGTGCCGCTACCGTTAGTATCTACCAATACGTTTTTCAGTGTCCCTAGATTTTCAAAGGATTTCAAATTATTAACAAAATTAGATTATTTAATTTTAACCCATACAAACCGGACTATTCAGTGAGACGACAACGTTCAAATGGCTGTGACTGATATCTCAAGTAATGTGAGGTAGTTAACATCCAAGAATTAGTTAATTAGTTATTTAGTCACACCATATGAAGTGTGAATAGGTCATATGGAATATATATATATATATATATATATATATATATATATATATATATATATATATATATATATATATATATGTGACAAGAGGTAACCTTATCCAATAGAATGCAATAGCATTCTACTATTAGGTCACAAATAAAACAATGTACTTTATTTATATGAACCCTATTGGTAATCAATATCGGGAATAATCTGTTGAAGTTCAATAATTCTTAGAAATAATAAATTTCAAAAAAGCCAATAAGAAAAACATGTCAATAATTAGTATGATCAAACAATCAATTTCTAAGTTTATTGATTTTGATGTTTGTTTTAATTTCAAAATTGATCGAAATATTCGCATTGATTGATTGTAGTTTTATTTTTATTATTAATTAGTTAGTTATCAAGTGAAATTCATGTTATTCATAACAAGTAGTAACTGCATAACCTTGACATTAAAACTTCGCATATTTAATCTTTTATGTAAATGTTACATTGTATTAGAGACATCAGAATTATTATATAACTAAATCGAAATAAAAGTCATAATCTAAAGACAAGAAAATAAGCTATAAAATTCCAATAAAATACCATTTATACACATAGTTCCCTTTATCATTTTGAAAAGAGCAAGAACAAACATTCTAACAGAATAGCATGAATTCATTTCTATTTCGTTGGTTCTCGTCATCTGCTTACAACCTGTGATATTTAAAATCATTGGCCGAACAGAAAGGAGGGCATATCTCAGATTTTTTGAACATGTTCCATAAAGCCTCAGAACAAGAGAAAGAAAGACTCTAAATAGTGCAATCACTAAACATCTCCTCGAGACAGGACACCAGGTCGATACCCTACAATCATTCAAGGTGATTAGTAAGCAGCCAAACTCCCGTCTTGTGAAGTTTGCTGAAGCAGTTGCAATCAGGCGCCAAAAGCCTGATTTATGTGTTCAAAAGGTGATGGTTATTAATCTTTCCTTGCCTTAGTGATTAATATTCCTTCCTTATATCTTAATATTTTTTTCTTTTCCTTAAACTCTTTCTTGCATTTATCACATCATTGAGTTTTGTTCCAACTATCTTATTTTATCAACTGAACTCTACTCATTTTATTCCTATCCATGTTTACTTGTTTCTAGCCTTTTGAACTGTTGTCACAATGTTCTTTCATCATATAAGGTATATATTTACAATATTCAGTCTATTAAATTTATTTACACCCTTGCTATACTATACGAATATGTCTTCAATATAACTTCCAATCAAACTCTTTCATGTAAGTAAAATGCTATTTAGATAAAGTATTCATAAAAAAAACTAAATAGATTATAATTATATAGTAAATATGTACATCCCAAATCACGGAATCGAATTAATCGCTTATCTTGAATCAACTTAGGGTCAGAATGTGGATCATCTGGTTTCACCTCATTGGTTTGAAGGAATCATATCTCCCGAAAGATCTCTAGGCCCAAATTTCAAATGATGACGATATAGCTGTCTATTGTTCCATATGATTCCATGGATCATCACTTAATATCACTTGGCAGAGAAAGCTATATTCAAAAGTTCAAAAGTTCTTCACAAATAATAATTAGGAAATGAATCTAAACGCATTCATTGAACAACATTTTATTGTTCGAATACCTATATTCACTAAAGGCACTCAAAAATAGAAAATACAAAATTCACAAAGGTATGAATGGTTTAGGAGTTTTCAAATGCTTATGAGTGCTTGAGGTAAGAAATACAGTTTAATGGTTCTACATTCACTATGTTTTGAATATTTAAAATCAAACCTACTTTTCTGAAAAAAACAGTAAAAACTGAGTTTGATAAGTATATAGACAGATTAGGAGAAAATTCTTAGTTTTAATTCCTGCGAAACACTTTCGAATGTATACCATTAATTAATCTTTAAAACTTACAGAACACCTATTTGATTGTTTATATTAATTCATTATGAAAATTATGTGAAGTTCTACACTTTAAAAAAGAAGAAATTATATTTCATGCAATTGGTTCCTTTTATGAATTCTACTTACACCAAGCTAATTGTTCTTCCAATGACATTGAATCGCCTCCTTTCACTTCAACGCTATCATCATTAATTGAAATGGAGAATTCAACTACTGTATTTTCTGTTGAATAATCTGCTGTTATTGTTTTATTGTGATTTGGATGAGATGATGCAATATCATTTTCATCGTCGTCTAAAGATAAAATAAATGTGGCCTCAGTATCACCAGACATTTAATTTTCAAATTAATTCACAATTTTAAATTCAATTTGATGCAATTTTCTTGAACTGCGTAAATTATCAAATCAAATCTCATGAAAGTTTTTTTTATCTAAAAACTGTGTTTTCTTCAAATAATTAAAATTAGTTTCTAAGGGATGTTTGTGTGTGTTTATATGTCTAGTTCCGCTCTTAGATCACTTTGAGTTGTTAAGTTTTAAGCTGGTAATCACGCTGATGATTGTTACGATTTCCCAATGTAAACCTTTGCATTACAGTATAGATATGTACATAAACGTGAATAAATTTGAGTACTTCATTATCAATTCATTTTATTTAAATAGTTAAATCAATGTATGGTTAGTTCCTTTAGTTATAAGAGTTATAAATTTATTGGTTCCTTTTTAAAGTGAAAAAAGCCCATAATAACTGGTAATTCTAATATTACTAACTTAAATAATAACAGTGTAATGTGATTGAGCGAACAAGCCATATGTGCACATTATATAACACATCTGCATGTTCATGTAAACATCTAGACACAAATATTGAAGTTTACTAACGGCCTATGGATACTATGTGTGTCTCCATACAGGAGAACAAATCATAATAATATGAAAAATCGTTAGACAGACATGTTTATATTTACACATATATGTTAAGTAACATGTTCAATGGCTACATTAAAATATTAAAGCATTTCATGTACTTATTATTAAGTGAAAACAAATAAACCATATTGTGTGCACTAGATAATAATCTTCTTGGTATAATACATGGGATAAGTACACACTATATAAATACGCATATACACGTCACAAGTGTATTCGATTTTGACACTACTGATATATGGATGTGAATGACTTAAATCACATGATACAGATTCTATCAACTGAGCTAATTGGATGAATAGGTTTATTAAGAAAGTGATAACTCAAACATATCCTAAATGATTAATTTTGAACTTAATAAGCGTATACATATACTAGTTCTTCAGCGGATGTTAATTTATGAAAATGGCAGTGGTAATTCTCAAAAATCCTAGCGTTCCTGTGCCGAAATAATAATAATGTAAATGTAAAATAATATGCTCAAATGCTGGTTGCGCTAAAATATTAAGCATATAGGTTGGAAAACAGAAACTATCAGTCATTACTGCGAGCATAGTGCAATGAGATCACTGAAATATAATCCAATAATTTATAATACATCTATTTTATGATACCCACTTGTATCCAATATTATTAAATTTTATTAAACTGTAAAATGTAGATCATTTAATCTAAAAATGATAATCTAAATGAATTAAACTCTAGTCTTTAATTGAATCTAAGCAACGAGGTTAATTGAACATACTATAACACTATGGAATCCTAAAAAACTGACTGTATAATTTTCAATTCATCCTGTATTTTTTTCTGTTTGATGATAGAAAAGGAGAAGTTTGATTGTAGTGACGAAAGAAGACGTTAAACCGTTAACGAAACTAAAATTTCTGAGGTGTTGTTATTTAATTAATTGATACTTTATAATTAGTTCAGTTAGTGAAAATAGATTAATTCAGTCTAATCTTGATTGAATACAATGATGGTAACTGGAAAAATGAAAAGTGTATCATTGTGATTTAGGATAATGACTTACTTAATGAGAGCTGTGTATGATGTCAAGTTCAAGTTGAAATTTATGTGTTTTGATTCAAAATTATGTGTCATCTGTACTTTAGAGATAATATCGCATATAAAAAAGATCATTGACTACGACCTTTTGTAGTCAATTGTAATTGTCTCTATTATCTTTATTCACAAATCTTTGTATTATTAGCAAAGATGGATAGAGGCTAGCAGTGGAATCCAGGACGTGCATTCCATCCTATTTGGGACTCGTCAGTTGGATGTACCTGATTCTGAGTTGATGTTCACTCTGGGACTCGAACCCAGTACCGTTTGCTTCAAACGCCATCACGTTATCCACTTAGCTACTGAGTCCTGGTAGCCACTTGCTTGTGCAATGGGGTGAATTTTAATTCACTTGGTATTGTTTTACTTGAAACGCGCGTCCTGGATTCCACTGCTTGCCATTATCCATCTTTGCCTATAATGCCTGTAAATTAAGGCAATATCGCTGCAATACACGCAATATGTACATATGCCAATAAGAGACTGATCAACTGCAGTCCTAAACATTAATGGAAAGATTCAAGCAAAACAACAAGTGAACTTTGTATTATTATTATTATTACTATTATTATTATTATTATTATTATTATTATTATTATTATTATTATTATTATTACTATTGGCTGAACATCCTTATTAATCTCCCCTAAACATGATTCATTCACTTCGCATTCATCCCTCCGTATTATGTCTTACTTATTTGATCGAATTGTAATTGCACTATTATTTCTCTCTCACCATATTTGACCCATATTTATTCTGATCATGCATCTTAAAATTTCACTTCACATATACGCAGATTCAAGTTAACATTCTATATGAGTCATATCAACATTAACAATTTTATTGTCTTTTGTTTATCACAATCCTAAATTCACATGCTCTAAACAATGTACTTTGCCCTTAACCTGGGCATTTTTCGGATTATTAATTTGGATATATAAATTGTAGAACCTGAAGAGAATCTATCGAATAGAATATTCATCGTTCAAACATTAGTCTTTTAATCATTAAAGGACTTATAGTTGTGGAATGAACCTCTTGCCGTTGTCGTTTCATATTGAAAACAATCTTCAAAATGAGCATAACTCCACACAAACCGATATAAATAATCCTACAATATCAGAATGGGTTTTGTGGAGAGTTTCTGTATCCTACAATAAATGGTAAATATCACACAGTAGTCGCTTAGGTAACATGTAAAAGTTAATAACTGCAGAAATTTCGTTTTCGGTTATCTAGCATATCACACCATCAGACTACTACCATAATACATCCTATCATGCATAAGTAACAATAATCTGAAATATTTTTCATTAAGTTAACAGCCAAATGTTGAGTCAAATATAATAAAATTGATCATTTTTAACATAAAGGGAATAAATCTGAAAATCTTAAAACGTCAGTCCGTCATTCATATTCGGAGCGTTACTAGGGAGAGAGAAACCATGTGATCTATCTAAATCAATCACTTCCCAAGTAAGAATAAGTGATAAATATAAACTTCAAGATTTATGTTCAGCTATAAAACAGATCTTACTTTAAAAAATACCGGCTACTGTGGTGCAATTTAAAAACTGAGGAAACTTTTATTGGTTCCTAATAATAACAAAACAGATGATTGAAATTTAAGCCTAAGTGATAAATACACACTAAAGTAGTTAGTCTTATTGCTTTTATCAAATTGCATATAAACGGCAAAGGATATGAATTAAAGGTACAAGAAAAACAGTATATGATCATATTTCTATTAGTCATAAACGTCACAGTTCTAAAGAAATTAGTAACTAAGCACTTAACTGATAACGGTCATATTGTCAGCGTTTTTTGAGCTACTTACCTGAACTACTAATCGATAAAATATAATTTATTATAGTTCACTTTAAAAAAGTTTTATTGAAACTTCAACTTATTTGTTCAAACGGAAAAAAATTGTCAATATAGTATAGTCAATTGAAGTTTTACTAAAAACTCTAACTGTTCATTTCATTGTAATTTTAATTAATGACTTTAAAAACATCGATGCATTGACTTTGAGATTTTCACTGATTCCATTCCAAGAACTTTTGTTAGCTCTCTCAAACTTGTAACATTACCTGTCTTTTTAATTATCCTGTTCAAGAAAGTTCATGCCTTAAGCCATTGTTTCACGTCTTTTTTTTCCAATTCAATGCTCAAATGATTTTATATGCAGAAAAGATCACTGATAATAATTATCATTTATAATTATAGAAAATCATGTTTTGTTGCATTTCGATCAGTGAGAATAAGTAGCTCATATGCGTTCACATAGTATAACAATGTCATTTGTTATTTTTACAGTATTCTGATAAATATATTATTGTTTCTGCACTTGCTCCTATACTATATGAAAACTAACAATTACTGGAACCAAGATCATGAAAATAAATTAAGTATACACGATTTCGCTTGCGGGACTCGAAATCAAGACCTTCGGTCTCGGGCGCAAGCGCTTAACCTCTAGACCACTGCGCCGGGGTCCAATGGTGTTAATGTTTAACTTCAACCAATCCACGAAATTGTGAGATAGTAATTCACTGAAGACAATGGTGGACGGTGGCGCAATTCTGTGGATTGGTTGAAGATAGACATTAACACTGTTGGATGCCGGCTCAATGTTCTAGAGGTTAAGTGCTCGAGTGCGAGATTGAATGTCGTGGGTTCAAATCCCGTGGTCGAGATCGTGGATGCGCACTTCTGGGCTGCCTCATACTAGGACCAAACTGCCGTCCATTGCTTTCATGTTTTCCATGATGGTCTAGCTTTAATTGACTCATAAACTCAACTATTATTACTCCATAAAAAACCCCTTTCTGACATTAAGTATACTCAATAGTTTAATTTTGCTCAGTTCGAAACAGTAGACACTTATTACATACAAATGATATTGTAAAATTTAAATATCTGTACTTTGTAACTAAATTTTTCAAAAAAGAAAAATATTCGTGCTAATAGTTGTAATGGAAGAATTAAGGTTAACATGGTAATTGTTTTACTTAATTCATTATTCAAGTGTCAGTTATCGTGTGGTTTTGACAACTAAAAAGAAAAAAACAGACGGAATAAATTTCTAATAATCATAATAAACCTTGGCAAATTGCAAATAAATTTTTTTATAGGATTTCATTTAGCTATTATTCAAATTGAACAGAATAACTCGATAGACATATTACCGAGTGTATATTAGTGCCCGTATATATCTATCTATTTGTATATCTGTATATTAGATAACTAACTTTTCAAATCTTTACATAAAAATCATGTAGTTCATTTACATTGTAAATTCAATAATAATTTTTTGCAAGTTATCCATCAAC